AAGGGCAACAACTATCAATAGCCAATTTTGACAAAAAAAAGTTTAAAAGGGGCATAACTCCAAATACTTGGCCTTCAGAATTGTGCCCCTTGTCTAACAACTGCATCTTGTCATGATAAGCCAGTATTACAAGTTTCATGTTGACAACCTTTAAAATGTTTGAATAAAGGGATAAATTAAAGTTTTTGCATGACAACCATAATTATTATGATGCACTGATCATCATAAATAGCTTTAATGTTTCTTCAAAGCAAGCAAGCTAAAAATAATTGAAATACTGCTTGACAAGTTACTGGAAACAAAATTATGTAACACATGTGATATCATCATCAAAGGACTTGTAGTGCAAAATAATGTTATCATTAAATTCAATTGATCATGTAAAACAATTAAGCTTACATCAAGTGATTACTTCAAGTGATCATTATACAAAATTTCAGCATTTTTATATCAAAATCCATTACAAAATTACTAACAATGGCTCGTAAGTTCCTTGCATGACAAATCCATTCTATCAATAACTGGGTACTGGTGAAAAGTTGAAAGTTGGTGCAAAAGGATTTTCAAGCTTCTGTTTGAAAACTAAACTGTTTAGTCTCCTAATCAAGTTTCTCAGACAAATCTGTTTATTTGTGTAAATCAAATTGATATACAATTAATTATAGGTGACTATCTTCAAAAAGCCCCTGTAGTACTAAATAACCTAAATAACGGGATTAAAATTTATACAGAATTAGCAAGGATTTGTGTCACATTAAACTGTGATGTAAAATCAGGTAGATTTGATAACCCCTCCTCTAAATAACATAATCCTTTTATTTTTGTATGTTTGTTGAAACACACTGTCTGTGATTAACATTGTTAATCATCATGTTTATATATTAATGAAATGATAAGGGTGATAATAGCATTACATGATTTGGTTTCCAGAGTGACCATTTTTTTTGCAATATATCATCCTCTCCTTGTATATTCTCCTTTAGTATTTGGGTTTAATGTCAACCCTACCCTGTTACACAACTGTTCCTCCCAAAGTGTCTGACTGAAGTCCCAAACCTCAGATTAAAACCAAAGTATCTGGCAGGATTCGAACCCAATTCCCTGGCAGGATTTAACCCCACAGTGGTGAGGCACAAGTGACTTGAGGCTATGATATGAGCCACTAAACCACACATGCCATCAGTTTCATACTGCGGCATGATCTTCTTTAACACAAGTAAATTAAATTACCACAAAGAACCCAAATCTTGTCAGCAAATCTTTCCAGAAATGAAGTCTTAATTAAACTGTTATTAATACAGTTGTAAATTTTATTCCCATTGAAACCATTCTTTATATAATATCTGACAACTGTTTTGCATATAACAACGTTATATTAATGTTATCCCCCTGTGAAATATTAATAATATCAATGGTTGTACTACGCAAGAAAAATGAGCGATATCATAAAATTATAGCAGTAATAATGAAATAAAAATTATTGTATCTTCTTACATATTTCAATATATTGTTAAAGATTAATATTACTAAAAATTTCAAGGATATTAATAACATTTTAATTTCTAATGCTTTGGAAAATGATAACTTATGCCAAATGAAGAAAGAACATGAAAATTGAATCACTTGAAATTTGCTTGATTGGTGAAAATCACCTTTGTGACCTAAGGACAGAGCCTTAAATTCCCGTATGAGACATTTGTACAGCCTGGCTGTCCAATTTTTAGAGACAGATTTTGTAACAAACTATCAAAATCCCTCCAATTTAGAATGGAAAGGTTCAAATACAATAATGGACAAGTCTAATGCACATATTTAAGGTTGTTGTGGGTTAAATCAAGAAAGTTTTCCATATTTTAGCACAGTCATGTACTATTTATCAATAATCAACTAAAAAGTTCAATTCAATTCAATGTTTCAATAGCACACCTGGATTTTATACAACAGATCACACCAGAAAAGCAAGAAACCTTTCAAATGCATTTTAAAATAAATAGATTAATAGATTCAGATTAAGCCCAGATTTTATTATTTATACTATAAAATATGAGAGTAGATATATTATTAAATACTGAGTGAAAAAAATTAAAATCTCTGTAAACATAACCTCAATCCGATGCATTATTTTCCCACAATGCAATAGATTCATTTTTCAAAATCATTAAACAAAAGTCAAACAAAAAGCTTCTCAACTAATACTAAACAGCTTCTATCTAAAGTAGTTCACTCTTTTCAATTCAACTTATTTCAATTCAGACATGAAATACCAGAATATTTAAAATCAAATTTCATTTTTCATTTTTCCAATTTCTGCATTTGAGCTTATCTACAGTATTGTTTGCTTTTTTTGAAAAATTTAAACAAAAAGAGCGGAATTAAAAGCGAAGTAGATTCTTTGAAGTACTGATTGGTAATTACAGGTGCATGCTCTTTTTAAGACTGAGCATTTTAAATTTCCTCATGCTAACAAAAGAACAAAAAATTTATTTTATACTTTTAATAATAGGCTGCCAAATTTTTATTGAGATTTTGAGTGCCTTTAAAGAATGCACGGCCCAATGTGGTACATGGTAATTAGCTAAAATATTTGTTTGAAAAAATAAAAATGTGCATCATATAATTAAGATTTTTAAAATTACACGAAATAATTGATAGGGAAAAAATAAAAAGAATTTGAATTATTCTGAAACACATAAATCAATGCTTTATAGATTTATTTCAAAACAATTTTAAATCAATGTACGTTTATTTTTGGACAATTTATGGGGACAAATAATATCAAATGCATGCATCTAGTGTTTTTGAACTTTAAATAGAAACTGCAAGTACTAAACTTTGCACATGAAGTAAGAGATCTTAAAATCTCAAATCTTGCAATGTGCATTTGAGTTAATTATATTTAAGATACACAACAAAAAGTTTGCAAAGTTAAAAATAATAATAAAACTTAAACCATTTAAAATAATTTAATTAACAACAATTAATTTCAGGTAATTCAATTAAGGCTGACACACACATTTGGTTACTGTTGTATGTGAATACAATACAATTTATTTTGTTTTAAAATTAATATAAATTATCAAAACAACCCATTTTTTTTATCTCGAAAATAATTCAAATAATTAAACTAATTTTGATTGCTTTTCAAATATTTTAGTATAATTATTTTGTTTTTATCTATAGACATCTTAAATATCAAATTATATACAAAAATCTTATCAATGGTTTCATCTAAAATGCATTTTTATAGGGAGACAAAAATCATAATTTCTGCAATAAATACTTAATATTTATCTAAGATAAAAATCTAATTCTTTGATCTTTTACAATTATATGTTAACAAACATAACAACTTAAGAGCCTTAAGAAAGTTAGACACCAAGTTGTATTTGTTAAAAGGATGTTATTTTGACAGTACAAATATATTAATGACCCACTGTTTGTAGTTTACGCAATACCTCTGGTCATTTTTAAGTAAATAAATTATTTGAATTTACTTTATTTACTGGCTATTAACGTTTTAACACACTTTTTGGCCAGTGGCTAGAGGATGTACAGTCTTTGATGTGGAGTTATACAGTTGTATAAGAAGATTTATTTGTACATGTATCAAAGGGTAGGGCATATATATTATCATGTATAATGTATGTAAATTTGACATATATTGTCATAAATGCTGTAAATAAATGCGATAAAATGATTTACTTTTTAATAAATTGTCTGCAGAATAATTTATGGCCATTGTTGCCTTAGCTACCTCAACTTCCTGAAGCTTTTCACTATATTGTTTCCTTGACTTCTTTTCTTTCATATTTCACCTTATATATTCATTTATCTTTTCTTTTTTACTTTTAAATACATAATCTTTTTAAAGTTGGGATTAAATGCCACACTTATTAATTAATAAGACAAACTTTTCAGCCTCTGCTCATGTCAAAAGAATGCACCTGCATCTATAATATACTTGTATTAAAGGTGCATGCTTTTTGGTAAAACCACACACCACCACAGACCAGCCGGAACTATAAGCTTCAAAACTCACTCATTTCATGACCTTTCAGTACTCAAGAAAATTTATTGAAGTAGATTATTACAATTAAATTACTTACTTCAATTTTCATAATATTTTTGAAACTTTTTACAAACAAGTAACTTTAAACTGCGATAAACTTGACAGATCATCTGGTCATTTTTATAATTTTTGTCTAACAAATGATAACCAGAGTTACTATAGCCATTTTAAAACTTTACATTTAATTTCAAATTTCTTTTAGCTATTCCGTTCTCCTTAAAAAAAACCCAGCAAACTTATATTACGCTGACAGTATGAGTGAGTGACGGTAAACTATCGCTTTATATTTTTCAAAATGCCAAAAAAAGATAAACTGACGGGTTAATCATATGAAAAACTGCCAATTGTTTCGGCAATAAAGACGTTTTTGTTTAAAATACCAGAATATCATTACAAAGTGGAGCTATTAATTACGCGGAAATGGTTTACGGTTTCGAGACGTCAATAGTGAGACACATGGTCTGAATGGCAGAAGTGCAAATGTTTGTTTTAACATATTTGAGACAAAAGGTGCAAAAATCTGAGACAAAGTGACAAACAAGATATCACTATCTTATGCACATGTCATTTACGTAGTCGACAATTAAATCTTTACCATAAACAAGAAATCCAGAAAATATTTTGTTCTTGCAACAAAAAAAATTGTTATTCTTAAAATATATACATTTATTTTCCTACTAAATTATCAAATCAGTCGAAAATACAACCTTAATTTGAGAAGTTGAAAAAATATTATTTAATGTTAAATTACCTTACAAAATTAATGGAACAATAAGACATCAGCAAAGAATTCATTTTATTTTTCACAGATTTAGGTATTTTAGATGTCTTTTTTACACCTATGACATCAATTTCAATTTTGCACCAATGGATCGATAATGTACAGTTTCAGGCTTTCAACGTCTTATTTTTTTTTATAGAAATTACCTACCATAGAAAGAAAGCAGTACATCAGAGTAATTTATTCATAAAGAAATTCAAAGGCATCTTGGATGCACCCAATCATGTCGGAGGTAGTCATGGAACGGCGACTCTTGGAATAAGCTCTTCTGTTACACTCCCTCGTCAACAGACAAGCTGCGTATGCTGCACTTATTGTTGGTCCATACAATCGCAATGACTCACTGGAATGATAAAAAGTAAAACTTAATTATTTTAAAAATATAGCCTCTAAATTTTATTATGAAGGGGGAAATAACTAGTGTTTTCAAATATCATATGGTACAACACCTTTCGACATACCATGCTAGCAAACCTTGATGATGTGCTTCTGCACATAAAGTAATTGGCTTAGTTATCAAACAAAATAGTAAAGCACAATAATCATTAGAACAACAGTCGTGACTTTCCTTGCCAAAGGTGAGGTCACATCAGCAAATGCATTTTTGTTTTGCAACATTTTTGTTTTTTTTTTCATTTAAGTCGAGCAATTAAATTCAAGAATAAACAGAAAAAAACACAACAATAAGTGATTTCAAAGAAATCTGGGAACCAATCTGTTTCTAAAAATACCCTCAGTCTGTTTGATTTACTGCACATTACATTTTAATGACCAAGTCTGACAAAATGATATGTTTCTATAAATAACCTCTGTTTCTATGACATACGTAACCTATTATGTTTGTGACCCAGTCGGGCATTTCTGATGCATTGATTACAGATAAATGGAGCAATATGCATTATATATAATTTGTACAACCTCATTCTGCAACAACACAATAGAATGATCTTTAATTACTTCTCTGAAAATGGCAACGATATTCATAAACTATACTTGTTATTGCGCTTCTCATATTTAATAATGTTTTATTGAAGCGAAAAGCACTTGGTATTGTAAAATTAATAAACATTTCTCTATAATGCTGCAAAATGTAAACAATATTCATGTGTGTGACAATAATTCATTATTACATTGTTTCTTTTATTATTTAAGGGGACCATTTGTCATGTAAGAATATCATATTTAACTTGGTACCCACCAACTGACCAATGACCAGTCATTGAGATTATTATATTTTTAAATACTAGCAGTTTCTCAATGGCCTTGATGTTTTTATGATTGAGTCATTGTTTTCACCAACTTCTATATTCTGTGAAAACCTAATGCCTCTACTTGAAAAAGTAACTTATTTAAACTCAAATAATATTCCAGCACACATTTTGCGATTTTGGTAAAACATTAAAGACATATTAAGCAGAGCCTGAGTTTACACTTTCGCAATTTGAAATGTAACAACCCAATGGTCTGAAACAAACGGGGAAAATCCTTTGTGACACTTGCGCTTTGAACATACAACTTTTGCGAAGTCTGCAGTCCAATATTAAATTACACAACTATATATTGAACAAAAACATAAATTATGTCATTTAATGAAAAATCAATATCTAAACTTTATCCCCATACCTGTAAAAGATAAATTAAGCACTGCAACAGTTTTCTTTAACGCTAAACCTGGTGGTGGCAATTTAACCTACCCATTAGACCAAGATCAGATAGAACAGACATGCTAACTGATCATGGTCTGCACTGTTCCCTATTAAGTTTGTACATATTTTGAAATTTTCCCTAAAAATGATGAATGGTTTTGTCCAGATTGAAGGATGGACAAGTCCATTTTAGATTTTAAGTGATGTTAGGAATAACAATAAACTGCTGCAGGAGACAGTTTACCAATAAAACAAAGACAAAACAAACAGTTTCAAGTATCACGAAAATGAAGAAAATCTATTTTCATGTCTGCCTTCCACAGACAAAAAAGAAAATAAAACAAATAAGGAAAACATTTGAATAAAGAAGAATGTAAATTATTTCAGAAGATACTTTTTTAAATATTTACCAAAGTAGAGCTAAATAAACTATCCAAAGATTCGTGTCCTTTGGTCCGTCTTTATTTTATATTTTAATATCACTCTGTATAATCTACAGTGAACTGCTGCGTCTGACTACCTTTTCAATAATGAACTGATGAAAAATTCTTACACTGGACTTTTTTACTCACTCAGAAAAAAGTGCATGGAAAGCATGGGAAATACTTGATTAATATAACAGTAAAAATAAATCAACTAAATACTGGCCTTTTCAAAGAATTATTCTATTGTTAATAGGGCAATTGTTAGAAAGGTTAGCCCATGTCATAGGAAAAGGTGACAATATTACCTTGGTATTAAAGAATAAGAGAAAATTCTTTTTTTCTGATTTCACCTTTATTGGAGATTTTTTTTATAACATTTAAATTCCTTATCATGAAGATAACAAGTTTGTATTGTATTTTATATAAAATCACAAATTTTCCATTTTGTTGGTGAAACCATTTGCCCCTCACTGCTGTGGGTTCGAATCCTGTATTGGTCTTTCATTATATTCAATTAAGCACTATTAAAGCTTCTTGTATCTTGAATCTTGGAGTAAATATTGTTGGGGGGGGGGGGGGGTTTGGGGGGGAATGAGTTATAAAGTATAAAAATCAAGATCAATGGAATTGGATACTGAGGTACAAGGTTTGAGTCTATATCAAACTTTCCTATTTTTGTTCACCTGGTAGCAATACAGCAATATAATTCATGTAAAGGTCAGATTTTAGTCTGAGTCAATAAAAGTCAAACTTTTCTGTTCTAAAGCAGACAAACTTGCAGATCAAAGTAATTTCCAGCATTACAGGTGGGAAATTTGGCATTGTTTAAAGAAAACAAGTAAAATATCAATACTGAAATCCATAGGAAAAACAATTATATCTAAATTTAGCCTGAATCCTGTAGAAACATCAGTTAAACTTACTAAGCAAAAACAAAGAGCAATTTTCAACTATTTACTAAATAACAGGACAAAATGAACTTTCTATTTAAATGATCAATGCAAGATGATGTCTAATTAATTCAACAATAAATCAAATGCAGAAACTGAAACAAATTGGCTATCTTTTGTATCATGTATGCTAATTGGTCACTTCCTTGTCCAACTCAATTAATCAGCCAATCAAATTGAACAACACAAAAATGCCAATACAAATTATTCATTTTTCCTTTTCAGGCCTGCTTGATTATCTATTATCCAAATAAAATATATGTAAAATCAGATAAAAACGCACATACAGATTTAGTTTCCGCATTATTGGAAATGACAGCATTTAATACAATTAGAGTCGATTCAGTGGTCATTTTACTTGCAATGACCGACAACTGGCCACTGGTCTAATGTAAAGCAAACAATTGAACGCTGATTATCATTCAATGACAGAAAATTGCTCACGATTCTCATTACCATAATCTTTTCAGACAATTCTCATGAAAATTACTCACGGCACGAAAGTGGGCAAATCGGCTGATACTTTTGAATCGGCTCGGTACTCAATCATTCCCGATATTACCTCAAGTACGATTGTTTCCATTCATTTTCTGTAAAAAATGTCAGTTTTGGCTTCTTGCGAAGCACAAATCAATTTGCAAAAAGTAATCAGGTTTCTACTGTTTACTTCCGATGACTATTAATGCAATAATTAGATTTTAAATGCAATTGTAACAACCAAATTAGGTGTAGAATAATTTCCTTCAAGTCAGACAAAAGGTCAAAGAAAGAGCTGACTACTGTACACAAAAAATAATAAAAGTAAGCTCATTAACTTTTCAGCCTTATAATTGCTTATGCAATTCTGAAGAAAAAAGTAAGTTACACATTTTTATTATCATTTGTCTGGTTTGAAGATGAAGTCAAAATTTTGTGTGTATTTTAGTTGACTTATACTCGCCACCGGTTGCCCATAATTGGGCGAGTCCTTCAGAAGAGTATAAGTTATTTTAGATTTTGGAGGATAGTGCGAGATACAGACAGATACAGAAAGATGCCCCAATTCAAGAAACCTATCTTGGTTCTTTTGAGTGCCAAGTGTTTAAACACTCATACACCAGACCTTGAGACCTTGATTTAAAGTCTCATCCGAAAGACTCAGATCATGATTTGTAATTTCAGTTGGCCAGCACAGGAATCAAACCCACAATGTCGAGATAACATATGTCTTGGGCTCTAAGCGATTGAGCTAACTTTGATTTAATAAATTAATATGGATCCAGACAGGAGTCAGTTGTTTCGATAATTATTATTATTATTTTTGAAGAGCAAAAATTTATATTCACGAGTTTAGATGGTAAGACACATCATGAAAATTACATAATAATAACTATCATATAGAAAAAAATAAATTCTACTTGAGGTGCACGCTCAAATAAACAAAAGAAAGCTGTGTGAAACATCTTGCTTTTTTTCTCATGCTATGTATAGACAAAACCTCGAGGCATTTTACACGTATTTGTTAACATTTCACGACCATATATTGTAGTGGTATTAACAAATTGACATGTGTTTTAATGACATAATGATAGTCTTTGGCTCCAGTCTAAACAAGAAAACATTGATTTTTACATGGTCCATGTCTCAGCATAGTGTCCGTGTCTCGAAATGTGTGTACATGTCTCGAACATCGAGTCCACGAAAGGTGTTAAAGTAATAATATACATGACATAATGTGTCTGCCAGTTGGTTAAATAATATATGTTACAACTTCAGTAAAACAAAGAAAACATCATCATGATCCCTAATGGATCATTTTTCTATAGCAACTAGATGTTAATTTATTGTTATGACACTTCGACAGAGACATGAAAACTAATAATGACATTAATGGTTCTGAAAATCATTTATCATAAAGGCTAGAAAATGGTTGGAAAATATTGACTTTTCAATCTTAATAATTTGTTAAAAATTTGTATTCCTAGAAATCTTCATAACTGGATACAAAGAAATCTAAAAAATATCTACCTTTCATCCTTAAAGGCCGGGTGCAAAAGAATGCACAGTTTGCAATCAGTATGGTACTGAAGATGAATATCATTATTACAAATTAGTAAAATATTGGCAGATTGAAAGGGTTTAAATATTTCATATACTTGAAAAATATTTAAAAAAAAAACAAAACACTTTGCTACAAAAATCATGCAATAGAGTACATGTTATATTTACCAACAATATCTGTATTCTTATGCTCATGGACATCAGTAATTAAATGTTTCTCTAGTTCTTGAGATTATGATAACAGACTGAGCTTGTTCTTAATGATGAAACAATAAACTTCTTCTTTCAATTAATCAACACCTAAGAGACACCAACACAGTCCGATGTTTTTCTCCAAATTCCACAACCGTGCCCAATTATCCCAAAATTAACACAAATTTCCAAGGAATTGACTTAAAATTGAAATTTAGGGTTTTCGCTCCCTAGAATTTAAACACCCGTTTTAATTAATCCACTCATATGGGAAAAGAAAAAGAACAAGTAAAAGATTTTTTTATCAGTTGGTGGAAAATTCAACGCTTCCGAAACTCCTTTGATGCCCATTTTGAAAAACATAACGTCATGATTAGCATTTTTAAAATGGCTTGTGGCATGTAAAGCCTCGGTTAACGGACTACAAATCAATAGCGATCATGAATAAAAACGCATTGTAGTAATTAAGACAGGTTCCATGATTCGTACAACATTCATTATTAATTGATATAGCACCTCCAATCATGGGAAAGTTTCAAATGAAAAGGAAAAAGCAACATAGCTATGCGAAAAAAATCTGTTGGTTACGAACACAAACACATTGCTACAATGTAACAGAAATAGTCACATGATTGGACTGTTTTGTTAAATACCTTTAAGGAAATATGACTTTATTTTATTTATTTACAGTTGGGCTCATATTAACACATTAAATTTTGAGATAATTAAGCAAATTTCAAGACTTAGTAGAGTATGAATCCTATGTGCACCTTCAAACAATATCCAAGGCACATTTTTTCATTGACATGCACTTTCATTATAGAATAATCAACTTCCTTCATATATAAGCTTCTTTCATGAAAGAGGCTTATATCTTTGGTGGAGATTCAAACCTACAGCAGGGAGGGGTAATCAAGTTGACATCCTTAACGTAAACCATTTTGCTATTATAATAGGAACATTTTGAAAACAAAACTTGAATCAATAGAATAAATTCTTATTTCCTCCGTATTTATTTCTTTTTCTTTAACAAATTTTAGTCAAACCAGTTTCAGTCTGTACCATTCCAAGATACTTTCCCTATAAAGTATCTAATCTCTATCATTTCCATCATTTACAAGCCCTCTTCTGTATAAATATGGCCGTCTTAAATCAGTAATATTGACCAGCAGTTGAGATCTACCCTGGGAAACATTCAATCATTATTGGTATTTATGTTTTTCATCGGATTCCCCGATGGACCATAATATCACATCTTTCTCATCATCCGGTCTTGGTTTATGATCCGATACATCTTGATTTACTGCCGTGAGGTGTTGATGCGTACTGCCCGGAGTCTGATACGCTCGAAGTCGCAGAAAAATGTTAGACTTCATCATCAACCAAGTGAGTAATTAACTCCCTGCATCAATGTTTTCGATGTAGATGGGAAAAATAATATTGCTTGAGTGATGAAGTGCATTGTGTCATGTTGACAATCTTGGTTGCAAAATCATAATAATAAAATAACCCTCATTAACCTTCTGGTGGCAATCGTTACTCGCACCCATGCATCCAGGGCATGCCAAGATCAGCCAGCACAATTCCATGCCATCTAATCATGATCGTCTGCACTGTTTAGATGCTATTCAGTCTGAACATAAAATGAAAAATAAATAAAAATGTTCCTTAAAAATCATGATTTGGAACTTTATAAAAGAGATAGAAATTGCATATGTCTGAAATTACTTACAAATAATGGGAATTTAAATACCTGAATGTTACAGTATTGAAATTGTCTTAATATGATAAATTTGTTGCTTTCATGTCTTTTTAGTGGTATTGTTAATGTCTGCAAGTATAGTCAATACAAGCACATATAGAACAGTCATATTTATTGACCAATGTGCTTTATGGTTCTCATATTTGACATAATTATGATAAATGGAATCATTTGACGGACTGATATGA